CCTTTCTTCCCGGTTCAAGTTTTTTCCTTCACTTTTACTGATATGCCTGCTCTCTTTTTATTTTTTATTTTTACAGGCCGGGGTCATTTCAGAGGAGATTGGCCAAACATTAAAGGAGAAAGACCAGGTCTCCCAACTCACCCTCCTCCTTGATTCTGCTAAGTTAGAGATCAATGACCGGGCAGAAAGGGAGAGGAGACTTGAGGAAGAGTTGAAGGAAGAAAGGGCCCGGTTTGCTCTTTTGGAGGAGGAAAAGCAGAGAAAGATCGCCGAGCTCGAGGATGGCTGGGCCAGGCTGAAGAATCTGCCCGGGCTAAGGAGGAGGCCTTTCCTTCTGAAGCTGCTGACTGGGCTGCGCGCAATCACACAGAGGTTGCCCGGTCCCTTCTCACTACCCCGGAGGAAACCATGGACTTTTTCAAAGTCATGTATCAAGAGCCGGAGGGGAAGAGGATGATAACAGAGATAGGGTCTTATGGATTCCAGTGTGGTCAGAAAGATGAGAGGTCTCTTCTTTATGCCAGACTTCTGAAGAGGGATCCTTCCTTTGACCCGGCCAAAATGAAGCTTCCAGCCCTCTACGAGGAAGAGCCGGCTCCCCTCTTTCCCCTAGAGTAGGTTAGGGTTTGGTTTTTTTAAAAAACTTTGAATTTTCCCAAGGCCTGAGGGATGTCCGGCCTATTTCTGACTTGTTTAATATTGTCTTTTGTTTGGCATGGTTTTCAATTTACCGGCTTGTTTCTTCTTTCAGTTTGCATGGTTGAACTCCTTTTCTATGCACGGTTATTGCTTTTCTTTTCTTTTTCTTGATCGCTTTTGAATGAACTTCCAAGTCAATAAAACTAACCGGCCTTATACCTTAGGAATCGTTTTAAAGAACGTCCAGGCCATCTCATGTCCTGGTCTTGAAAACGTCCAGGCCTCATTGGTTTGGTTGACAAATTTATTGAATATGCTTGATTCCAAGTCAAAAGAAGTAACCGGCTTTATCCTTTGTAGTTGTCCAGGTCACCTCATGTCCTGGTCTTTGGTTAACGCCCTAGAAACGTCTAGGTCTGGCAGGCTTTGTTGACAGCGTCCAGGTCTTTTCATGTTCTGGTCAATTCCATTTCTTGAAAATGTCCAGGTCATGTTATGTCCTGGTCAAGTACAAGCCTTGAAAACATCTAGGTCTTGTAACCTTGAAAATGTCCAGATCTTGTAGCCTTGAGAACGTTCAGATCACTTTGTGCCTGACTAGTCTTCTGGACCAGTTTGTGTCTAGGTTGAAGCGCATCAAACGTCCAGGTCATCTCATGTCCTGGTGTAGTAGGCTAGGTTGGAATTTTTGAAGACCACCTTAGACGCAAAGGCTTGAAAACTTCCAGGTCATCTCATGTCCTGGTTTTTTGACTTGAAAACGTCTAGGTCGGTTTCTTCCTCGCCTGTTTTCTGACCCAGTCAACTTCCAGGTTCTAATGGCTTGGTTGCAATATGTAACCAGCATGACGTCAAATATCCTGTCCAGGTGCCGGGTCAAAAATGTGACTGGTCAAAAAATATTTTTTCCAGTTTTGTCTGATTTCATCAAATCCGCCAACTAAAAAGTGACCGGTCACTTTTATTAAAATTTGACCGGTCAAATTTTAATTTTTTTCCCATTCACATTTTCTTGTCAATCCAGAACATCAAAAAGTGACCGGTCACTTTTGACCATGCCACCTTCTTCTCCCCCTCTGGCCTGGGTGTTATGCCTAACAGCAACCTTGCTCAAATTTCGAACGAATAATCCGAAACGGTTTTGGAATCATCAAGTCTCAACATCAAGACCCGAACTTTCTTCGGAGATTTTGACCATGTCCTA